CCTGAGGGGACGGGGCCACAAAAGGATGAGGGGCTGCGGAAGCCCTGACAGGACAAGGCAGTGGGAAGGCACTGGGGGGACGTGTGAGGGAGTGGGTAACGCTGGCTCAGGGAGGAAAGTGGGTTGGAGCCAAAGAGACCACTCACCCCGATGTTCGTGTGGCAAACAGAGCACGTTTATTCTCAAGCCCTTCCTTCTAAGGGCCTTTGAAAAACCCAGTCTGGATGATTTCACTGGTTTCACAGCTTCAGGGGCTGCAGTGGGAGCCCGGCTGGGCTCTGCCCTGGGGCCATCCTGCAGGGACAGCTGCAAACAGGGAGCATTCCCTGCCACAAAGAGCCAAGCCAGGGCTGCAGGGCAGCTGCTCCAGCCCCGACTGCACTGCTGAGTGCTGTGCTCTGGGGCTGGGGCTCCCCGCACAGGGGACTGCACTGCTGTGCCAGAGGAGACAGAGAAGCTGCAGCTTCAGCCTAACCGAGGTGGGTGCGTGGGCTGGGAAGAGTGGGGAGGCTCAAGGGGATTCACAGAGCTCATCCTGCTGCAAGGATGAGGAAAAGGGAGTGGGAACTCAGCAGTGAGGAGAGCTGGGGGCTGGAGAGCAGCTCTGAATGACACTAAAATCCCACCGGAGCTCTGAGACATTGCTGCTCCTCAGCCAGTGACAGGATGAGTCCCTAAGCCTGGGGCTCGGCCTTCCTCATGGTGAGGGGCACCAAGGAAGGCAACAGTGTGATGGAGACTGGAATGGGCTGGGAGCTCACTGGGGGAAAATAGGGAGCAGTTGGGGAGTAAAAGGCAGGTGGGGGAGAGAACTGGTTAGAGAAGGGCTGGGCTACAGCTTGAGCAAGCTGCAAAATGTCATTTGAGGTCATCCCAGATTGATTTAATTTCAGAAGTTATTGAACAAGTTTATTTTTTGGGTGGTGCCATGTTTTCCCTTGGAGGTGTACACTCTGCAAACTTGAACTGTGTTGCTGAAATGCTCAAGCAAGTCTGTGCTGCAGGGCACCCCATTTCTCCTTTTGCTGATTGCAGCCCGGTGCTGAGCTCCAGCAGAGCCCTGGCAGGGCCCAGAGCAGCCTCAGCACCCGCAGAGCCCGGCTGCAAGGAGAGAAACCAGAAACCACCCGTCAGCTGAAGGCTGCTGTCCCCTTGTCCCAGCTGCCCACAGAGCCCAGGCCATGCTGGCTGTGCCCAGAGCTGTGCCCAGAGCTGCCCATCACTGCTGCCTTTGGGAGCAGAGCAGGAGGGCAGGACATTCCCAGCCTGCAGCCAGCCACGGCACATCCAGCCCTCAGCAGCTGCCCAGAGCAGGACGCTCCTGTGCTCGCTGCCATCTCCCCAAAGCTCTGACCCCACCATCCCCAGCAGACAGGACTCACCTCACGCCATCCACCGCTGGGAGAAAAGCTGGTCCCAAACGATGTCCTCAGCCTTCTCCAAGGGCACGGCCCATCCACGCCGCAGCTGCTCCCAAGCACTTCCTGATCCAGACTGGACCTTACATAGAACGCTTCCTCTAGAAAAACAAACATCGAATTACTGAAAATAGATTACAGACAAAAAGAGGAGTGAGGATAAAGGTCAAAAATCTTATCTCTGTCAGGGACTTGAGGAAGGTCCAACCCCTGCATGCCAGGGAAAAACCCACCATGGGTGAGGGAATCCCAGGCTTTCTCCCTTCTCTCTGCACTGCCCCCATGGTGTTCCCAAAGCAAACAAGGGCAGAGGAGCAGCCCAAGCCCTTCCTTGCCTGCAAAGCAAAGCAGCCCCTGCACAGGGTCTGGAGTCCCACCTCTGCTCCCACCATGGGGGTTTGGTTGTGTCGGGCTGGCTGCCCCAGCCCCAGCCCCAGCCTCAACTCACCCGTCTGGCCAGTCCGAAAACCTAATGGGAAATGGAGACTGACAGTCGATTTTCGCAGGCTTAATGCCAACACAGATCCTCTCACAGCAGCGGTCCCAAACTTAGCAGAATTAATAACATCTATTCAAGAAAAAGCTCATCCAATTATGGCAACTATAGATGTCAAAGATATGTTCTTTATGATACCATTACAACCAGAAGACATGGACCGTTTTGCCTTTACGTGGGAAGGACAGCAATACACTTCCACTAGACTCCCACAAGGATACAAGCATTCACCCACCTTAGCCCACCATGCCTTAGCTAAAGAACTAGAGGAGATATCCAAACCTGATGATGTAGCAGTGTATCAATACATTGATGATATTTTGGTGGGAGGGGATGAAATTGAAGCAGTAAGAGAGACTCAACAGAAAATAATCTCCCATTTAGAGAGTCTCGATTTACAGATCCCCCCAGAAAAGGTTCAAAAACCCTCTCAAGAAGTAAAGTTTCTGGGGATTTGGTGGAAAGGAGGCATGACATGTATTCCACCTGATACCTTAACTTCTTTAGATCAGATTAAAATGCCTCATTCCAGGAAAGATCTACAACAGGCTCTGGGATTATTAGTGTTTTGGAGAAAACACATTCCAGATTTCTCAATAATTGCTAGGCCCCTTTATGACTTGCTAAGGAAAGGGGTAAAACTCCTTCTCAGGAAGAAGCATTGCAATTACTGATTTTTGAAGCAACTGCTCATCAAGCACTGGGCCCTATTCATCCTACAGTCCCCTTTCAGGTAGAATGGGGATTTGCTGTCTCAGGATTGTCAGTACACATTTGGCAGCGGGGACCCGAGGGTCCAACAATGCCTGTTGGTTTCTATTCCCGTGGTTTCAGAGATGCTGAGAAAAGGTACACTACCTGGGAAAAGGGATTGTTTGTGGTCAGCCTGGCTCTCATTGAAGTGGAAAGACTTGCACTACAACTACCAATTGTATTGAGAAGCCCTTTCAATGATACTAAGACAGTCACTACTGGGACCCCCCCTCCTGACGGGGTGGCCCAGAGGGCCTCAGTAAGAAAGTGGTATGCTCAGATTGAACATTACTGTAACATCTTTACAATAACAGAAGGAGCTGTGAAAAATTTGGCAATACAAGAAACTGAGAGCTTGGATAGCAGCCAGGACAAACCTGCCTCTGTAATCAAAGTGGCCCCTCCTTTCTGCCCTGAAAAATCAGCAAACTCCTGGTTCACTGATGCTTCTGCTAAAAGGGAAGGAAAGATATGGAAATATAGAGCAGCAGCACTCCACATCTCTTCTGGTGAGCAAATTATCACAGAGGGAGAAGGTAGCACAGAGGTTGGGGAACTAATAGCCGTCTGGAGTGTTTTCCAAATAGAAGCACAAAATTCCTCTTCAGTCTACATTTACACTGACTCTTATGCTGTCTACAAAGGTTGTACTGAGTGGCTTCCTTTTTGGCAACAAAATGATTGGGAAGTGAATAGAATCCCAGTTTGGCAAAAGGAAAAATGGCAAGAAATATTAAATATTGCAAGTCAGGGGAATTTTGCAGTGGGATGGGTAGCCTCTCATCAAACAGACGGAAATCCAGCAGGAGAGTGGAATAATAAAGCTGATGAACTAGCAAGGCTTAGTCCCCTGAAAAAGGAGCAAATTACAGAGGAACGAGATCAACTGTTAGAATGGCTGCATGTCAAAAGACAGCACACAGGTGTGAAAGATTTATATCAAGAAGCTCATGCTCGAGGTTGGCCTGTTACCAGAGAAATGTGTAAAACCTGCATATCAGCTTGTGAGCAGTGTCACAGGCGACTGGAAAGACACCCTTTAGAAGATGACCCTTTGCATTTAAGGAAAGGTAAAGGTTTATGGGATGCATGGCAGATAGATTATATCAGTCCCTTCAAGAAATCAGGAGGAAAACATTTTGTACTAGTAGGAGTAGAGATTGTATCTGGGTTAGTCCAAGCTGATGCTTTCAAAAGGGCTACAGGGGACAATACTGTCAAAGCTTTGCAGGGGTGGTTTGGAACTTTCCCTAAGCCCCAGGAAATACAATCTGATAATGGATCTCATTTCACTGCTAGAGTTGTACAGGACTGGGCAAAAGGTGAAGGAATTAAATGGACTTTTCACACCCCTTACTATCCCCAAGCTAACGGGATCGCAGAAAGGACTAATGGTCTTTTAAAACGACTATTGAGACCACAGGAAGGAAATTGGGATCTTCGGTTATGGAATGCTGTAAAAGGTGTAAATGACAGGTGGGGAGTAAATGGGTGTCCCAAGGTCACTGCTTTTTGTCCAACAGCTCCAAGCATCATTCCCTCACTGCAAGGACCTAATGATCCTAAAAATCCTGCACATTACCCTAGGCAACCTGTCTTGGTAGACCTCCCCACTGTAGGGCAGGTACCACTTGTGCTGAAAACCCCTCTGAACAAATATACATGGATAGCCTCTGATGCTCTAGGAAAAGAGCACCGCATAAATACACGCTGGATAATTCCATCATTCTAACCTTTTCTGCCATATAGTGGCAGGATTTTCTTGTTATGTTTGCTTTTACAGAAGAACCCCGAGGGACTTTATCATCTGAACCATGATAAAATTGATGATACTCCTCTGCATTTTACCACAAATCTACAGCCAACACCCCTCTGAGTGGTCGTGGTCGGAAGCTACCATCGAACACACTGATGTGATAGGATCATATCCTAAAGATCGCCACCCAAATCTGGCAACTGTCGTGCTACATAACTCTAAGGTATATCGTCCAAGTGAGTGGAAATGGGATCAGAAGGACTGGACCAGAACCCTAACTGGAACGATTGGTGAGACTATTGTGGTAGCATGCAGAAAGGTAGAAGGATCCTCACATGAGAAAGCTTCTTCTATCACAGTTGCTGGAAGTTTTATGGAACCAGGAGGAAAAAATAATTTAAAAATTCCTTCAGCAAAAGTGTGCCCTACAAAGAAATGGGAGTGTATCAAAACATTTCCCCTTACCCTGTGCTGCCGTCAAGAATATATTGGTAACTATACTTCAAGTCCCCAAAACAACAATGTAGTAATTACCTTAGATTGTGAATATGAACCCAATGATTGCTGGTATAGTTTTGTTTTAGCTAAAACTACTTATGTGACATGTCTTTGGCAAAATAATTTAACCAATCCGTTGGACTTACAAGGTCTGGTTTACAAATTTAAAATTGATGCTACAACTAACAATGACACAATAATTGCACCCCAATTGATAGAAAGTCCCTTTACCGAAGGGCCATGGTCACAAGCTTTTGTTTATTTCTCTGGGTACATGGGAAATGTAAAAGATTTAAATCTATTAACTCTTGTTATGCATAATAATCAAATATACACTAAGCAAGAATGGAAAGAACAAAAAACTTGGCAGCTTCAAGGGGAAATAGGGGAGAAAATTAGTATAGGATGCCGAATGATTAACAAAACTGCTTACGACAAAGCAACTTCAATTAGTGTCCTAACAGGTAAAACAAACAAGCGAGAGGAGGTTTGCACGCATCCAAACATACAAGAGTGTTGGCACAATTTTACACTAACACAAACTGCTGAAGTAGTTTGTCTTTGGGGCAAAGACACCGAAGGACTTTCTTTTAAATTCATAATAAATGTTATAACCCAAACTACTACAGTTCATACCACCACCACCACTCAAACTCAACCACCAGTTATGCTTACTCCAAAAATCTCAAAAGTTGGACCATATATTATCAGGAAAACTGGCCAACAACAAATATTGTTCAATCTGGCATGGTCTCTTAAACAAGTTAAATTGCTAATGCAAAGTAATGTCTCTGAAGTTCAGCCAGCTTGTTTACCTTTCTTGCAAACTTCTTTCCAGGGGTGGACGACCTGGTTACGACAGTGGAACCCTTCTAAAACACGAAAACCAAGAGACATAACTGGTGTCGTGGGAACAGGATTGGGAATTCTAAATAGTATTAATTCAGAAGTATTATTAAATAAATTGGCTGCTACAACTAAAGATTTGACCCAATTACAACAACCATTGCAATCATCCTTATCAGCCTTGGGAACGCATCAGTGGTTGCTAACAAACATATTACCAAATTGGGAAAAGGTAAATCTGAATGACCACGAATTGATAATTGATGCACTCAATGCTACACAAAGCAACGTTTCCTTAGCCCTTAGCTGCATCCAGGCACAATTATGGATGCAGTCAGTTGCTGCTTCACTTATAAGAGAAGGTGAAGAAGGCACGTTTCCTATGGAAATTCAGAAGATAGTTTGGAACAGTGCCACTGACTTTGAAAAGGATTTCCAATCCTGGTGGAATTTGGTAAACTTTACTTATGACCCCACTGCAAACTTAGCCACAGCTTTTGTGTTAACCATACGCAATGCCTCCGTGCATTCAATATTCCCCATTATTGCATTAGGATTGAATCATGATGGAGCCACTCTCTATCCTTCCGAGCATAGAGAATGGGCCTGACAAATTGATGATAAATGGCAAACTGTTAACTTAGAATCTTGTATTGTCCGAGAACAACAAGGGTTCATCTGTGAAGGCAATGCAATTATAGCTCAGGATATTTGCCTGGACACTGAACAAAATACCTGTCACTTTGAAATCCATCCTAACAAAACTCCTAAAACATTCCTTGTATATATAGGCAATGGATGTGCATGCTTTAGAACTGCTTGTAACACGGTGTATGTAGAAGACACAGTAGTAGATACTAAAAATCATTCAAATTTTTGTGCTTGCAATTTCACTAAAATTACAGGATGTGATTTTTCTTTTGAAGCTCCAGTTACCTCATATCAACTTTTAGAATCTAATTACACGCTGATCCATAAGCTATTGCCTACCCCCATTGGAATGAATCTTACTCTGGTAAGGCAATTGTTGCTTCACCAGGACTTAATTAAAATCTTAGGAAAAATCAAGGAGAACGGACAGAAAACACTGGTAACTATTCATCATGATGTACAAGAAATACATCGGGTTACAGAAAGAGTAAAAAGTGATGCAGAACATAGGTGGTGGGATACACTTTTTGGGTGGTCACCTACTGCTACAGGTATCCTGAACAAATTGTGTCATCCCATTGTTGTTCTTTTGATTTTAGTTTTGATTGCCTTTGCTTTATCAGCAATCTTGCTTATTATGAATTGGAGAATGATAAAACGATTAACAAAATTGACAGCTATAATTAATGCACACCACTTGGCCGATGTGCTTTATACTATAGACATCCCCAGGACTATAGACACAAAGCAATTATAAGATTGGAAGATTGTTTGTTTTAGTCACTTAGAGAACCTGATTTGAATTCTTAAAGATTGTTTTATTAGTTTAAAGAATTGTTTTAATATTATTTAATCAACTCATTGTTTATTGATTAGAAAATTGTTCCAATTAAAATTGTTCCAATTAAAATTGTTCCAGTTAATATTGATTCAGTTTATACTAATTATTGTTATTGTTTTACTATTTCCCTTATTCTCTTTTCCCCTTCTTTTTCTTTTCTTTCCCTTCTCTGGGATATGCTGCCAACACTAGACGAGTCCTGAAGACTTCACAACGACACTACAGAACCCTGCTGAAGATCTCTTGAGGGCAATCGTCAGTCACGGGGTGGTGTAAGAGGCCGTCTGAAGACCCTCACTCATTTGCCTGCCAATTGCCATGAGAAGGAACTCCCTTCCCCCACTGCAGTTCCGGCTTGGAGAAGGCAACAGTGCAGGTGCAGCCGCTGCACCGTTACGTTCTGTTCCCAACGAGGCCTGGCAAGAACTTGGCAAGAAGTTGGCAAGGACTTGGCGAAGACCCAGCGTGGACCCAGCACAGAGCGGCCCTCTGCAATTCCTGCTTCACTCTCCACCTTTAAGCTGAATGAACTGTTGGGGTGACTCTGGTGGTCTCTCACTGAAGACCCCTCATCTGCCTCGTTACCACCGTGACAGACAGAGATCAAGAACCCTCTCCCCAAGGACTGAGACTGAGACCCCTACCACAGAGAGTGGTGGTGGGGGAAATGACATGACCTGTTCTTCTCCAGTAACTTCAATGGACTTATTCATCATTGTGTTTGTTCAGCCTGGATGATTTTCTGTAGATACACCTGTTCCCCCCATAGCAATTTCAATAGACTCTCATTGTTCTGCATGTTCCCCCCTTTTCCCTCTGTGGACTATAACTGGACCCCTGGGTTAGGTAGGACTTTGGAGACTCTCCCCAGTACAACAAGACGGATCCCCATGGTCCAGACCAGTGAGGACCTCGCCTGTGTTGGTAGCTATTCCCATCCCCCCTTCTCTCTCTCTCTCTCTCCTTTTTATTTCTTTTCTGACCACACTATCGCATTTATTGGTTTTGGCCCTTAATAAAGGTGCATCTGTTGTGATTAAACTGATAGTCCCCTGCTGTTTGTCTTTTGCACTTTGGGATCGGCTAACGAACCATCACGACACCCCACTATAAGCGGATCGTGACAGAAGGACAGCACGGAGACCCTTGGATATTTGGGATTTTGGAGGCCAAATCCCATTTTTGGCTGTGGACACCTTGTGGAGAAGGGCGGATTTTTCCTCATGAAAGAAAAGCACCAAATCTAAGAGTTTGGGAAAAAGATCAGAGGTGGCCATTGTAGGAGAGGACAGCCAGAGCTGTCCCTCATGGCAGCTTCTGGCTCGGAAGAGCCCTTGGATATTCGGAATTTTGGAGGTAGATTCTCAGTGTTGTCCATGGGCACCTGGACATGAAAGGGGTTTAACTCCACATGCAGTTCTGCAGCCAATCACAAACCCCCCAAATTTTCACAGCCAATCACAAAACCCCCAGATTTTCACAGCCAATCACAGAAACCTCAAATTTTTGCACCCACCCCATCAAATCCTCACATAAATCCCAAACATTTGCAGCCACCCCATCAACCTGCCCAGAGGGAGGAGCCAAGCATTTCTACCTGGATATAATCTCGGGTTTCTGGAAGAACACCAGAACAGCCTTTTCACTGGATTCCCAGAGGAACAGCTGGGGTTTTCCACTGCCTCTTCAGAGGAAGACTACACCCTTCTACAGGATCACTGCTCCAACAGAACCACAGCTGACACTGCAGGAGGACTGCAGCCACCATTCCAATTAGACTGCTACCAATGCCCTGACCAAAAGGGTGTCAGGTCATATTCTGACTCTGCCAGTGTTGTTTTGCATTACTGCATTGTTTATTTTCTCTTTTTATTTTTTCCCCTAATAAAGAGCTGTTATTCCTGCTTCCATACCTTTGCCTGAAAACCCCGCATCATTTCAAATTTACAACAATTCGGAGGGAGGGGGTTTACAGTTTCCAGTTCAGCGGAGGCTCCTGCCTTCCTTAGCAGACACCTGTCTTCCCAAACCCAGACAGTTGCCATGGCAACCTCTGGCATCCCATTCCCAGGGTCATGGGATCCCAGAAGCACAGAATTGGCTGAGCTGGGAGGGACCCATCGGGATCCTCGAGTCCAACTGCTGGCCCTGCACAGGACACCCCAACACTGCCAGCCTGGGCCTGGCAGCGCTGTCCAAACGCTGCTGGAGCTCAGAGAGCCCTGGAGCTGTGACCCTTCCCTGGGGAGCCTGGGCAGTGCCCCAGCAGCCTCTGGGCAAAAACCTTTCCCCGAGATCCAACCTCAGCCTGCCCCGACTCAGCTGCAGCCGCTCCCTGCACTCCTGTCCCTGGGCACCAGAGTGAAGAGGTTCCCTCAGCCCCAGCCAGGGACCCGCTCCCAAGGCTGCTGCCATGGCCACCAGGGCTGGCACCAGCTGCGATGCTCGGTTTCCATGGGCCGGGCTTCAGGAATGGGATTCCCCAATTTCCTGCTCCCGCTAAAACCGCGCTGCCTCTCGCTGCCCTCCTGCCTCCCATGGAAAGCACAAAAGGCAAAGATCCTGGGCTGGGATAAGAACAATTTACTGGGAACAGCAACGAGATAAAGAACAAACAGGAACAGAAACAATACTGACAACAGAAGGGATAAGAAAAACTATTTACAGGGAAAATTTCAACATCAGTGACTGTCCCTTCCCGGCCATGTATTTCCTCCTGCCGTGAAAGGACACCCTTCTACTCAGGGAGAGAGAGAGAGGGTCCCTTTCCTGCCCCTGGCAATGACCTGAGATAGTTGTGAATGTAATGACAGGGCCATGGCCAGACCCTCATGTTCTTCAATCCCACATCAGGTCATTGGCAGGGGCAGGAGAAGGTACAGGTGTCTTCCCAGCATGGATCACAGGGAACAGGGATCACCAGGGCTCTTCCCAATGTGGGTTCTTCAATGGGGGATGAAGCTGGAGCGGTGCACAAAGCTCCTCCTGCAGTTGGGGCACTCGCAGGGCTTCCCTCACTGGTGCCTCCGTTGGTGTTTGGTCAAGGCAGAGCTCCGGGTAAAGCTCTTCCCACACTGGGGACACTTGTAGGGCCTCTCCCCAGTGTGGATGCGCTGGTGGATGACAAGTTTGGAGCTGCAGCTGAAGCCCTTCCCACACTCCCCACACTCGTAGGGCCATTCCCCAGTGTGGATCATCTGGTGGCAGATCAGGGTGTTGCTCTGCCTGAAGCTCTTCCCACACTCCAAGCACTTGTAGGGCTTCTCCCCATGGTGAACCTGCTCATGGACTTCCAGCTCTGAGCTCTGGCTGGAGCTCTGTCCACCTTCCTGGCACAGGGTGGGTCTTTTCTCCTCGGAGCACCCTGGGCTGGGTTTGCAGCCCCTCCTCCTGTGGGATCTCCAGGGCTTTTCCTCCCCGTTGGATTCCTGTGCCCTGGAGTTGCTCAAAATGGTCTCTTCCATGAGGTTCTGCCGTGGGGATTTGTCCTCCCTGCTCTCCATCCTCAGCTCCTTGTCTGGGAAGGACGGACAAGGAGAGGATGGGATTTGCCTTCGTGCCAGAGGGAAGGGGAAGGAGGACGGTGTCATCAGGGGGTTGTCCTGCAGCCAGGGGCCGTGCTGGGCTGGGAGATGGAGCAGGAGAGAGGGGGAAAGGGGCACTGACTACCTCCTCACCTGCCTGGGTGACCCGGGGAATCTTCCTCTTTCTTGCAGCCTCCCTCTCCATCCAGCCAAGCTTTGGGAATAAGAAGTCCTGGATTGGGGAAAACAATGTATGGGCACATTGGGTCAGGGGAGTCCTACTGCCCAAGTCCATCTCTAAAAGTCACCGGTCATCTGGTAACCATTAAAGCCTCGAAAACAGCAAGATTTAGACCCCCAAAATATATTAAAAACCAAGATTCAGCAAAACCCAAACCCTGAGTTTCCCCTTTCTGGCCTCTCCACTTTGGGCTCCTGGAGACCCCCACCCTGTCTGGGTTGCTGCGGGTCAAGTTTGCATTGGTGCTCCCCCTCTCTGGGCTGCTGGGGCTCCTGGCAATGCCACAGGTTCCCCTTCTCTGGGCTCACCACTTTGGCATCACAGGCGTCCCAGGGGTCAGCACTGTCCGGGGTCCCTGTTTCAGGGTCCCGGGGTATCCATGGGTGCCCCCTGTCCATGCTCCCAACACCTCCAGGCTTCTGGAACAGCCCAGCTCTCGTATTGCCCGTCTGTGCTCCCCCCATTGCCGGTTTCCCTGCCAGCCCTGCCGGTAGCGAGCGATCCCCACGCGGCTCCGGGCTGACAGCGCAGCCCCTGGGCCGGGCAGAGCCAGCCCCAGCACGGGGGGACCCTGCACCCTCCGCTCCCTGGGCAGCTGCACCCAGCCCCCAGGAAACAAACCCCCACGGCCCCTCCCCACCCACCTGGTTCAGGAAAAAATTTCCTCTGAGAGAGAAGTGGAAAAGAACCTGTTTATTGAACGAACAAAGCACTCCCCAGCACCAAAACAATTAACAACACCAGATGACAACAAAACTCTTTCACCCCTCTGAAGAGATGAACAAATCCAGAAAGTCTTTCCTGGGAGTGGTCGCCCAGGTCTGGACGTTGGGGGTTGCTCTCCAGCACTGGGGATGGCTGCTGCAGATCACAACATGCAGGCTCCTGGTGTTCCTTGGTGTTTCCCAGATCCCAGTCCGGAGCAGGTTGGATGGTATTCAGGAAGAGGAAAGGAAAAGCAACAGCCCAGGGAAAGAATTGGACTGCTTAGCTAACCTAACTAGGAAGCAAAGGCAAAAGCAGAAGCAAGCCAAGCAAGCAAGCAGGCAAAGCAAGCAAGCCAAGCAAGCAAGCAAGCAAAGCCAGCCATCCAGCACTAGCCTTTTCTAGACAGCAGACCATGGGGGGAGGTGAGCCAGCTGATAACAAGGCAAAACAAACCTTCACTTTCAGAGTCAGTTCTGAAAGGACAGAACATAGTATCAAACGTAAACAGAACACACAATTGGAGATACAAACACCATAACATCACCCTGGGACATTCCACCCCTTATCTTCATATCGCCAACATCATCTAAAAACGTCATCAAGTAAAAACTTCCATCGTTCACTTACTCATACACATTTCCTTCCATTTCACTTGCTCAAACCTTTGGCACTTACACATTTCCTTCTGTCTCATGTCTGTGTCTTTTAATGTACAGGCACTGGCAGTAACATCCAGCAAACAGTGATATTTGCACATGAGTCTCACCTGTAGTAGATAGGGACAGGCGAACGGAAGATCCCGGGATGTGACGGAAAGAAAGACCCTTCCCCCTTAACCCCGCAACACGTTATCTACCACCCCCAGAACATGTAACCACACCTAACCCAGTAGTTTTCCACTCCTGACTAACCCTAGAGACCCTACCAACCCCCTCTGACGTAGCAAAGTCCCCCAAGACTATTTAAACCCATGAGATAAGATAATAAAGGCTTTCGACCGCCCACCACATTGGTGTCAGCGTGTGTCGTTAGTCCGAGTAGCCCGGACTAGGCCGGGCTGCCATGCTGCTCCTTGCAACCGGGTCGCTGTTGCCTGCCATAAAGGCAACGTATCTGGTGCCGAAACCCGGGAGAAGAAAAATTCGCTCGGGTGGCGGGAGTTCACCTGGACAAGGGCAGCGGCCGGAGCGGTCAGACCGTATCTTGGCGCAGGGAGACGTCCCAGGACCCGCGAGCATCATAGACAGCATCGCCAGGGTCGTAAGTGTGATTTATAAGCAATGAGGTATTGAGTGTAAGCTCAAAGACTTTTATCTTGCTATAGCAAGGCTGCTTGAGCTTGGGGCGATTGAACGCCCAGTGGGTGTTCTGCATCCGGGAATATGGGAAAAATGCACAGCCACACTGGCCGAGGACACGAAATCCTCAGGCAGTGGCAAGAGCCTTAAGGCGTGGGGCAGAGTAGAGAAAGCCCTGCACAAAGCAATAGAAGAGCAGGAGACATGAAGCGCGGCACGTACGTGTTTATTAGTTAGACCCGGGCTCGGGGTGGGAGCGGGAACACAGACTGCCCCTGAGGATGATCCGCCCGGGAGCGGAGATCCGGGGGGGCGCCCGGCGCGTCACCCCCCTCCTCAGATCAGAGCCAAACCCCCGCCGCGGAAACCTCCCAGAAATCCACGGCTTTACGATCCGTCCCGCCGCCGCCGGTCAGTTACCAGTTGCCGGAGGTGCAGCAGCGCGCGAAATGCTTTTGGCAGGGGCTGGCGAGGGAAGCCAGATACGCAGAAACCGCGGCTTGGGAGGAGATCCAAACCATGCCACCACCCTACTCCATTGAAAATGGCGCTGGCAGCCAAGGAGAGGGGCGGGGCGCGGGCGGTCTCGGTGCGAAAAGCATGCGCGGGAGAAAGAGGAGGAGAGCGGCAGAGGGCATGGAGCCAATCGGCAGCCGTGCCTGACGCCGCTACCATTTAAGGGAGAGACCTCCCCCTGCAGGAGGCAGGGCAAGCCGGGGGGGCAGGAGCGGTGCCACCCCCGCAAGGAGGAGCGAGCTCAGAGCCGGACAAAAAGGCACCGAGCCCCGGAAATGCGCTGGCATCCGACTTCCGACTTGGAGTCCAGCAGCAGCTCCGCCAGCTCAGAAGAGCTGACGGAAGCCGGCTGGGACTCTGAGACGGAGGAAACGGAGCCAACGCGATTTAAGACAAAACCAAGTAAAGCTTTAAGCCGCACCGAAAAACAACTACAATACGAACCAACCCAGTTTTCAGCTGGGGAGAAATGTCCTGTTGGGGCTGCGGGAGGAAAGGGCATCTCATTAGTGAATGCAGGTCCCGGCCCCAGGGAAACGGGAAAGGCGGGGGGGGGCATGCGGGCCGCACTCAGCCTCCTCCCGCCGTGAATACAAGGCGGCTCATCTATGCCAACCCCCAGTGGGGCGGGGAGTCCTTATACCCCATACCCCCACAGGAGGCAGCCAGCTTCATACCCCCGCCAGCGACACAATTGCAGAGTTTCGCAACACAGCCTGCGGTACCTTCGTACCCACTACCACCGCAAGCAGCGCCTGTGCCGCAGGGTCAGCAGGGGACGCCCCAGAACGGGACCCCTGGGTGGTCCTGGCCATGAAAATAGGGAAGGAGCCCCGGAAGGTGTGGGGGACATGCCACCTTTACGACAGGCAGGACCCCCACGTAATAGGGCTTCAGTTTTGGGCAGACACAGGAGCAGCCTGCTCGATATTTCCCCAAGCCCTGTGGCCCCGACACTGGCAATGCAAAAAAGTCCCTCCAGTGAACGGAGTGGGAGGGCCATCCCAAGCTTGGAAAAGCACCCAATTAGTAGCTATAACGCTTCATACAAAAAAAGGACCAGAACAAACAGTAGCAATCCACCCCTACATTTTGCAAAACTCTCCACCCCTGATAGGAAGGGACATCCTTGCTATGTTAGGAGTCAGGATTACAAATTTATAATGAGGGCCACTGCCGTACACCCACTGCTGCCAATCAAACTGACCTTCAGAACGAAATTAATGGAAAGCTGTGAGTTTTGGTTTGCAGGACACGCTCGTGGACCGTCCCTGTGACAGGTACACCCCTGCTCCAGAGGGAGATGACGGACCACCAAGCCACCAGACAGAACCCGAGAATCCCACACCGGTGAGACCCAGACATGCACAGTGTCTTTGTGCGATTTTGCTGTTGGGGCTTGTGGCCGGGGGACAAGCCGACCCAGGCCACTACCCTCATCAGCCATTTAGGTGGGTCATGCAACATCTTTCAAGTGACAAGGTGTTCAAAGAGGTCACCACAGCGAACACCCCATCCTTCGTGTTCCACATAGCCGATCTGTTTCCAGGACAACCAAAACTATGGCCCATAAACCCACGTATCGTACTCATGTACATATCCTACTGGTGCCCAGCGTCCAACCCAGGGAAAAGGTACTGTGACTACCCGGGGTGGGGACATTGTGGATATTGGGGCTGCGAAACCATTGTTACAGATGCCAGACCATGGGGAGACGGGTGGCAACCGCAGGAGCCCAACAAATTCTTACAGTTCACTTGGGCACCCTTTGGCTGCGGAGACCACAATGCACAGCCTAGATTACGGGGATGCGTAAGTTATAACATGACTGTCCTACAGCCAGATCACCCTAGCTGGGCCACGGGTAGAACGTGGACAGTGGTCCTCAGAGGACTGAGAAGGTGGGTGAATGTACGAATTATCAGGCTCCAACCACCAGCACCTCGACCAGTAGGACCCAATAAAGTTATCAAGAACGTGCTGAGAGGGAAAAACACAACCCACCCCAAAACCTTGCCCCCAAAAGTCACTGACACCCCGACCGGCCTTGCGGATAACCTCCAGGTAGGCCGCACAGCTGAGTCAGACCCAAACCCAATCTTTTGTATGCTAGAAGCTACCTTTCTAACCCTAAACGAAACCAAACCGAACCTGACTAACTCCTGTTGGCTTTGCTATGATGTTAAACCCCCTTTCTACGAAGGCATTGCTTTAGACACCCCCTTCAGTTACTCCACAGCCAGTGCCCCCCACCAGTGCAGATGGGACACTCCCCGCAGAGGAATCACCCTGAGTCAAATCACAGGACAGGGCAGATGTTTTGGCAATGCAACTTTAGCAAAGCAGAAAGGCAACTTCTGCACTAAAGTTGTCAAGCCCAACAGAAAAACCAATAAGTGGGTGGTCCCATCCGCATCTGGGATGTGGGTTTGCCAGCGATCCGGAGTGAGTCCTTGTGTGTTCCTTGCCAAATTGAATGACTCTATCGACTTCTGTGTCCAAGTTCTGATTGTTCCTAGGGTCCTGTACCACTCAGATGAAGAGATATACCACCTTCTCGAGGAACCTGACAGACTCCACAAAAGAGAAATAATCACAGGTATAACTATCGCAATGCTGCTCGGCCTGGGAGCAGCTGGCACAGCCACGGGTGTCTCAGCCATCGCAACCCAACAGCACGGACTCTGTCAGCTGCAAATGACCATCGACGAAGACCTGCAGAGGATCGAGAAATCCATCTCCTATCTAGAGAAATCAGTCTCTTCGCTTTCAGAAGTAGTTTTACAAAATAGGCGAGGACTGGACCTCTTGTTCATGCAACAAGGAGGACTGTGTGAAGCCTTGAAAGAGGAATGCTGCTTTTATGCAGATCATACGGGAGTTGTTAAAGACTCCATGGCAGAACTCCGAGATAGACTGGCTCAGAGAAAGAAAGACAGGGAAACCCAACAGAGCTGGTTTGAATCCTGGTTCAAAAAATCACCTTGGCTCACCACTTTAGATTCCGCCCTGGTAGGTCCGCTGGCAATACTGCTTTTAGCTGTTACCATAGGACCATGCCTGCTGAACAAACTAGTCTCGTTTGTTCAGGCCCGTCTAGAACGGGCGAACATTCTGTTTGTAGGCCAGCAACAAATGCTGTAAACCAAAAACTGCGAACACAGTCAGTCGCAAAAGCCTTCGAGACTCGCCTTGCAAAAATTACTCAGGTTTACCAAACCACCCTTTCCTTACCAAGTTACAAGTTTATACCTCACTCCAGTGCCTATATCTATGACTACCTCATTTTATTTATGAAGAGGAGGGGGGAGATGTAGTAGATAGGGACAGGCGAACGGAAGATCCCGGGATGTGACGGAAAGAAAGACCCTTCCCCCTTCACCCTGCAACACGTTATCTACCACCCCCAGAACATGTAACCACACCTAACCCAGTAGTTTTCCACTCCTGACTAACCCTAGAGGCCCTACCAACCCCCCCGCCCAACGTAGCAAAGTCCCCCAAGACTATTTAAACCCATGAGATAAGATAATAAACGCTTTCGACCATCCACCACATGGGTGTCAGCGTGTGTCGTTAGCCCGAGTAGCCCGGACTAGGCCGGGCTGCCGTGCTGCTCCTTGCGATCCAGGTCGCCGTTGCCTCCCCTGAAGGCAGCAGGTCCTGGAGGTATTTGGTGTTATTTATGCAAATGAGATTCAAATTAGGGCTGCAGACAGGGTCTCTGGGGGGGCTTCAGGGAAGTTTGGGAGGAAATGGATGGGTTCATATGCAAATGAGATGCTTCTAGGGGGCTGTAGATGGTCTCTGCAGGGGTCCTGGGGAGATTTGGGGGGTGTCTATGTAAATGAGGTCTGTGGGAGAGTTCTCTGTGAGGGGTCCTTATGCAAATGAGATGCTAATGAGGAGCACAGAACAGTTACTTGATGGGTCCTGGAGGTACTGGGGGGTATTTATGCAAATGAGATGCAAATTAGGGCTGCAGGCAGGGCTTCTGGAGGGGGTGTTTGGGAGAGGAAATTAGTGGGTCCTTATGCAAATGAGATGCTAATGAAGGGATTGGTCAGGGTGGGGCTGGGGCCGATGGGGCCGGTATGAGCCAGAACTGGGAGCTGTGGGACCAGGATGGGATGGGATGGGATGGGATGGGATGGGACGGGACGGGACGGGACGGGACGGGATGGGATGGGACGGGACGGGATAGCAAGGCATGGCATGGCATGGGATCTGCAGGACTGGGATCTGCTGGGTTTGGGGTGTCTGGAACTGGGATCTGCTGGGTTTGGGGTGTCTGGAACTGGCATCTCCGTCATCCACTGGAACTGGGATCAGCCGGGTTTAGGGTTTCCTGAGTCAGAGATCCACTGGGGCTGGGATCTGCTGGAGCCAGGACCTGCTGGGACGGGATCAGAAAGGTTTGGGGGTTCTGGAACTGGGATCTGCTGGGATCTGGGATCTGCCGGGGCTGGGATCTGCTGGGTCGGGGATCAGCTTGATCTGGGATCCACTGGATCTGGGATCTGCTGGGTTTGGGGCTTTCGGGTCAGGGATCTGCTGGGATTTGGATCCACTGGGGCTGGGATCTGCGGGGATTTGGATCCACTGGGGTTGGGATCTGCTGTGATTTGGATCCACTGGATCCGGGATCTGCTGGGTTTAGGGCTTTCGGGTCAGGGATCTGCGGGGATTTGGATCCACTGGGGCTGGGATCTGCTGGGATTTGGTTCTGCCGGGGTTGGGATCGACAGGATCTGGGATCAATGGCTGCTGGGACTGGGATCTGCTAGGACCGGGATCTGTTCGGATCCGGGATCTTCCAGGTTTGGGGATTCTGGGTCAGGGATCTGCTGGGATGGGATCCACTGGGGCTGGGATCTGCTGGACTGGAGGTCTGTGGATGCAGGGATGATCCCCAGATGGGATCCCTGGGATCTGCTGGGGTCGGGATCTGTTCTTTGATCTGGGATCTCCTGTGGCTGGAGCATCTGGGGTCTCCTGGAGCTGGGATCCACCTGACCTGGAGCAGTCACTCAATGGGGATTTACTGGGAATGGGATCTGCTGGGTTTGGGATCTGCTAGGAATTGGATCTACTGGGAATGGGATCTGCTGGGAATAGGATTTGCTGGCCCTGGGATCTGCCGGGGCCTGGATCTGCAGGACTGAGACCCACTGAATCTGGGATCTCCAGGTGCCGGGATGAGCTAGAAAGGGAATCGCTGGGATCTGAGATCTGCAGCTCTGGGACCCACCAGATCTGGGATCTACTGCAGTCTGGAAATGAGGCTCTGGGATCTGCTAGACCCAGGATCCACTGGATCCAGGATCAAAAGGTGCCAGGACAGGCTGGAAAGGGAATCTCCAGAATCTGGCAGAGCTAGGATCTGATAGATCTGGGATCCACCAGCAGCTCTTCCCAGGGAGCATCCCTTGGATGGAATGTGGGAGGTGGAATCACAGTTTGGACCCAGAAGAACCGTTCCTGTCCATGGGAAGGACAGCACGGAGCCCCTTGGATATTTGGGATTTTGGAGGCCAAATCCCAGTTTTGGCCGTGGACACCTTGTGGAGAAGGGCGGATTTTTCCTCATGAAAGAAAAGCACCAAATCTAAGAGTTTGGGAAAAAGATCAGAGGTGGCCATTGTAGGAGAGGACAGCCAGAGCTGTCCCTCATGGCAGCTTCTGGCTCGGAAGAGCCCTTGGATATTCGGAATTTTGGAGGTAGATTCTCAGTGTTGTCCATGGGCACCTGGACATGAAAGGGGTTTAACTCCACATGCAGTTCTGCAGCCAATCACAAACCCCCCAAATTTTCACAGCCAATCACAAAACCCCCAGATTTTCACAGCCAATCACAGAAACCTCAAATTTTTGCACCCACCCCATCAAATCCTCACATAAATCCCAAACATTTGCAGCCACCCCATCAACCTGCCCAGAGGGAGGAGCCAAGCATTTCTACCTGGATATAATCTCGGGTTTCTGGAAGAACACCAGAACAGCCTTTTCACTGGATTCCCAGAGGAACAGCTGGGGTTTTCCACTGCCTCTTCAGAGGAAGACTACACCCTTCTACAGGATCACTGCTCCAACAGAACCACAGCTGACACTGCAGGAGGACTGCAGCCACCATTCCAATTAGACTGCTACCAATGCCCTGACCAAAAGGGTGTCAGGTCATATTCTGACTCTGCCAGTGTTGTTTTGCATTACTGCATTGTTTATTTTCTCTTTTTATTTTTTCCCCTAATAAAGAGCTGTTATTCCTGCTTCCATACCTTTGCCTGAAAACCCCGCATCATTTCAAATTTACAACAATTCGGAGGGAGGGGGTTTACAGTTTCCAGTTCAGCGGAGGCTCCTGCCTTCCTTAGCAGACACCCGTCTTCCCAAACCCAGACAGTTGCCATGGCAACCTCTGGCATCCCATTCCCAGGGTCATGGGATCCCAGAAACACAGAATTGGCTGAGCTGGGAGGGACCCATCGGGATCCTCGAGTCCAACTGCTGGCCCTGCACAGGACACCCCAACACTGCCAGCCTGGGCCTGGCAGCGCTGTCCAAACGCTGCTGGAGCTCAGAGAGCCCTGGAGCTGTGACCCTTCCCTGGGGAGCCTGGGCAGTGCCCCAGCAGCCTCTGGGCAAAAACCTTTCCCCGAGATCCAACCTCAGCCTGCCCCGACTCAGCTGCAGCCGCTCCCTGCACTCCTGTCCCTGGGCACCAGAGTGAAGAGGTTCCCTCAGCCCCAGCCAGGGACCCGCTCCCAAGGCTGCTGCCATGGCCACCAGGGCTGGCACCAGCTGCGATGCTCGGTTTCCATGGGCCGGGCTTCAGGAATGGGATTCCCCAATTTCCTGCTCCCGCTAAAACCGCGCTGCCTCTCGCTGCCCTCCTGCCTCCCATGGAAAGCACAAAAGGCAAAGATCCTGGGCTGGGATAAGAACAATTTACTGGGAACAGCAACGAGATAAAGAACAAACAGGAACAGAAACAATACTGACAACAGAAGGGATAAGAAAAACTATTTACAGGGAAAATTTCAACATCAGTGACTGTCCCTTCCCGGACATGTATTTCCTCCTGCCAGGAAAGGACACCCTTCTACTCAGGGAGAGAGAGAGAGGGTCCCTTTCCTGTCCCTGGCAATGACCTGAGATAGTTGTGAATGTAATGACAGGGCCATGGCCAGACCCTCATGTTCTTCAATCCCACATCAGGTCATTGGCAGGGGCAGGAGAAGGTACAGGTGTCTTCCCAGCATGGATCACAGGGAACAGGGATCACCAGGGCTCTTCCCAATGTGGGTTCTTCAATGGGGGATGAAGCTGGAGCGGTGCACAAAGCTCCTCCGGCAGTTGGGGCACTCGCAGGGCTTCCCTCACTGGTGCCTCCGTTGGTGTTTGGTCAAGGCAGAGCTCCGGGTAAAGCTCTTCCCACACTGGGGACACTTGTAGGGCCTCTCCCCAGTGTGGATGCGCCGGTGGGTGGCGAGGCTGAAGTTGCGGTTGAAACCCTTCCCGCAGTCAGGGCAGCGGAAGGGCCTCTCCTCAGTGTGGATCCGCTCGTGCAGGTGGAGATTGGAGCTGGTGTGAAACCTCTTCCCACACTGGGCACACTCGTAGGGCCTCTCCCCAGTGTGGATGCGCTGGTGGATGACAAGTTTGGAGCTGCAGCTGAAGCCCTTCCCACACTCCCCACACTCGTAGGGCCATTCCCCGGTGTGGATCATCTGGTGGCAGATCAGGTTGTTGCTCCGCCTGAAGCTCTTCCCACACTCCAAGCACTTGTAGGGCTTCTCCCCATGGTGAACCTGCTCATGGACTTCCAGCTCTGAGCTCTGGCTGGAGCTCTGTCCACCTTCCTGGCACAGGGTGGGTCTTTTCTCCTCGGAGCACCCTGGGCTGGGTTTGCAGCCCCTCCTCCTGTGGGATCTCCAGGGCTTTTCCTCCCCGTTGGATTCCTGTGCCCTGGAGTTGCTCAAAATGGTCTCTTCCATGAGGTTCTGCCGTGGGGATTTGTCCTCCCTGCTCTCCATCCTCAGCTCCTTGTCTGGGAAGGACGGACAAGGAGAGGATGGGATTTGCCTTCGTGCCAGAGGGAAGGGGAAGGAGGACGGTGTCATCAGGGGGTTGTCCTGCAGCCAGGGGCCGTGCTGGGCTGGGAGATGGAGCAGGAGAGAGGGGGAAAGGGGCACTGACTACCTCCTCACCTGCCTGGGTGACCCGGGGAATCTTCCTCTTTCTTGTAGCCTCCCTCTCCATCCAGCCAAGCTTTGGGAATAAGAAGTCCTGGATTGGGGAAAACAATGTATGGGCACATTGGGTCAGGGGAGTCCTACTGCCCAAGTCCATCTCTAAAAGTCACCGGTCATCTGGTAACCATTAAAGCCTCGAAAACAGCAAGATTTAGACCCCCAAAATATATTAAAAACCAAGATTCAGCAAAACCCAAACCCTGAGTTTCCCCTTTCTGGCCTCTCCACTTTGGGCTCCTGGAGACCCCCACCCTGTCTGGGTTGCTGCGGGTCAAGTTTGCATTGGTGCTCCCCCTCTCTGGGCTGCTGGGGCTCCTGGCAATGCCACAGGTTCCCCTTCTCTGGGCTCACCACTTTGGCATCACAGGCGTCCCAGGGGTCAGCACTGTCCGGGGTCCCTGTTTCAGGGTCCCGGGGTATCCATGGGTGCCCCCTGTCCATGCTCCCAACACCTCCAGGCTTCTGGAACAGCCCAGCTCTCGTATTGCCCGTCTGTGCTCCCCCCATTGCCGGTTTCCCTGCCAGCCCTGCCGGTACCGAGCGATCCCCACGCGGCTCCGGGCTGACAGCGCAGCCCCTGGGCCGGGCAGAGCCAGCCCCAGCACGGGGGGACCCTGCACCCTCCGCTCCCTGGGCAGCCGCGCCCAGCCCCGGGCACAGAGCTCCGGCAGCCCCCGCCGCCCCCTGCCCGGGGACCCTCGGGGACCCCCGCAGCCGGGGCTGCCTCTGAGCGGCCGCCCGGGGCTCGGCCCCGAGCACAGAGCTCTGCCCGGGGGCTCCCGGCCCCAGCGCCGGCTGCGGGCCCGGCCGGCCGCTCCCGGCTCGCACAGCCCGCCCGGGGCCGCCAACAAAACATCGCAACCACAAATCCACAAACCAACCCTGCCCCGCTGTGCTCCTGCGCCTTCCCAGGGACCCCAACCCCGCGGCAATGGCCCCGCACCGGGACAAAAAGCTGCTCCAGCCCAGCCCTCGGCACCCCCGCCTGCGGCTCGTCCCTGGCACACAGATCCCGGCAGCTGTCCCATTGCCGCAGCTGCGGCTCTGGAGCAGGGAGGCTCTGCGGGACCCCCGGGCTGTGCCCCCTCCCAGCCCTGCCCGCCCCGCACCTGCAGCCGGGGCTCTCTCGCTGCTCCCGCTCCTGCACAGCCCCGCTCTCCTTTCCTTGTCCCCCTAGGCTCTCCTCTGGGGCTCAGGGAACACCCGGCAATGGAAAGGAATCCATTTTGGTGCTCCCTAGCCAGGCCACAACTGAAACTTTGTTCCTTTTGCCTCGCTGCACAGGCCCCCAGGGCGTTTTCTGCACCCAGTCCCAGCCCCCAGCGCTTCTGAAGCCGCTCCCTGCAAATGTCCTGGAGCTGCCAGGGCCCTGTCCTTGCTGTCACCTGCTGGGGCTGGCCAGGAACAGAGCTCCTGGGCTTGCATGTCCAGCTGCTGGGCAGCCAGAACTGAGGCATCTGCAGCGGACTGAATGCCAAAACTGGAAGATGAGCCTCTCTCCTGGGGAAATCTTCCCCTCCTGGGCCAGCCCGAGGCAATGCTGCCATTCCCTCCTGCTGCTGCTGCTGCTGCTGCTGCTGCTGGGGCACTCGGGGCTCTGGCTGAGCAGCAAAGGTGACCCTGAGCCAGGAGCTTTCCTTGGCTGCAGCAAAGCCTCGGCACGCAAAGCCCTTCCCGGCGCTGTGCCCTGTGCCAGGAGGGATTTTGCCAGCAGAGCTGACCCCAAATTTCTTCTCCCAGGCAGCTTTAGGACACGCGACATGGAGCAGCCAGAGCCCACTCTCAGCTGTGCGCTGTCCTCCAGAAGAATCCTGTGTGTGAAGCAGCCTGGGAACAGGGTTCAGTGTCAGAGAAGGGGAACTCAGAGCCCTTTTCTTCCCTCTGGCCTGAGGCTCTGCATTGCCAATGGCCCTGCAGCTGCCAAAGGGGCCTTTTTGGCTCAGCTGAGAACAGTTCTGCTGAGAGCCTGTCCTAAACCTGCTTTTCCTGCAAATGTGCCCAATTAATCCTCATTTCTTGCAGCCCCAGGTCTTGCGTGAGTGCCGATGTTACAAGTGAAGGATGGAACAACTCTGCTGGTTGGGAGTTCTCTTTCTCTTGTTTTGATATTTTGTTTGTTTGGTTTTTTGTTCCGTATTTTGTTTTGGTTTGTTTGGGGTTTTTTTGGTGTTTTTTTGTTTGTTTGTTTGTTGGGAGTTTTATTGGGAGGTGTTTTTTTTAATTTTAATATGGTTTTGTTTGCGGGGTTTTTTTTGGGTTTTTTTATCAATTCCCCCTGTCACCTCTGGGCAGAGCTCTGTAACTGTGTCTGACACTTGTCTGTCACCGCTGGGGTGTCACAGACAGGGAACGCTGGGGCTGTCACCGCTGGGGTGTCACAGACAGGGAACGCTGGGGCTGTCACCGCTGGGGTGTCACAGACAGGGAACGCTGGGGCTGTCACTGCTGGGGTGTCACAGACAGGGAACGCTGGGGCTGTCACCGCTCCTGCCCTGTCCCCAACAGCTCTGCCAGCGCCTCGAGGGGACACAAAGGCTGAGCCAAAGGGTGAGAATTGCAGAAGGGGCTGAGCTGGGAGGGACCCATTGGGATCATCGAGTCACAGAATCACAGAATTACTGGGTTGGAAGAGACCTTCAAGATCATTGAGTCTAACCCATGCCCTAACACCACCTCAATTAAACCACAGCACCGAGTGCCACATCCAATCTTTTTTTAAACACATCCAGGGAAGGTGACTCTACCACCTCCCCGGGCAAGCCAATCCAATACTTTATCAGCCTTTCTGTAAAAAACTTTTTCCTACTATTCAACCTGTATTTCCCTTGGTGCAGCTGAAGACTGTGTCCTCTGGTTCTGTCAGTTGTTGCCTGGAGAAAGAGACCGACCCCCAGCTGACCACAGCCACCTTTCAGGAAATTGCAGAGGGTGATAAGGTCACCTCTGAGTCTCCTTTTCTCCAGGCTAAACAACCCCAGCTCCCTCAGTCATTCCTCACAGGGCTTGTGTTCCCAGCCCCTCACCAGCCTTGTTGCCCTTCTCTGGACACCCTCAAGCGTCTCCATGTCCTTCCCACACGGAGGGGCCAGAACTGGACACAGCACTCGAGGTGCGGCCTCACCAGTGCCAAGTACAAGGGGAGAATGACCTCCCTGCTCCTGCTGGCCACCCTGTTCCTGACACAGGCCAGGAGCCATTGGCCTCCTTGGCCACCAGGGCACATTGCTGGCTCATGTTCAGCCGCTGTTGGCCAGGAGCCCCAGATCCCTCTCTGCCTGGGCACGGACCAGCACACCGTCCCCAGCCTATAGCATTGCAGGGGCTTATTGTGGCCAAAATGCAGGACTTGGCACTTGGACTTGTTAAACTTCAACTTACTGGACTCTGCCCATCCCTCCAACCGCTCCAGGTCTCCCTGCAGAGCCCTCCTACCTTCCAACAGATGGACACATGCTCCCAGCTTAGTGTCAGCTGCAGATTTCCTAATGAAGGACTCAATCCCCTCCTCCATGTGGTCAATAAAAACATGGAACAGAGCTGGCCCAGCACAGAGCCCTGAGGGACCCCACTGGTGCCTGTCCCCAGCTGGATGCAGCACCGCTCACCACCACTCTCTGGGCCCGTCCGTCCAGCCAGATCTGGAGCCAGCAAAGACTGCTCCTGTCCCAGCCGTGGGCTGCAGCTTTTCCAGGAGTGTGCTGTGGGAGGCAGTGCCAAACTCCTGGTGCTGGCTGCAGGAGATGCCCAGCACAGGCTGCCTCTGTCCGCTCAGTGCCAGCCTGTCTCCCCAGGCCAGCACAGCAGCCCTGGGCAGGGCACAGAGGGGCCTGGCCAGAGCTGGTGCCTGCAGCAGCAGCTGCCTCTGCATTCCTCCCAGCAGGCACAGAAACGGCTGCTGCTGTGTGCTTTTATAGGATTTCACTGTGTTTTAGTACATGAGTTAGGAGTTTAATGCTAGCAAGTTTCGGTTGGTATTGTTCCTTGTGCCCCCCATTCCTTCCCCTCACAATGGTTTCTCCCAGGTTGTTCACTCCTGAGCTTTCCCGCCACTCAGCTGTCCCTCAGAGTGCCAATCTCCCTGTTCCTCCCCTCTTACCCTTAAATAGATGTGTCAATCCAGGTTGTGCTGCCCACCTCCCTGTCTGTCATCGCAGCCACCCCCATTTGGTTCTGGAAGGTTCCCTGTCAGTCACCCATGTTCTTATAGTTGGTTGGTCCCCGAGGCTTCTCCCCTCCCCTGTCTTTTCCCCACTGGTTGTAAATCCAAGATGTAATTCTCCTGTAATCTGTCTCCACTGGTATCCCATGTTGCCGCCCCATGGTCCTGCCCTTGGCATTGCCCATCCCCACATGCCAGTGCCCATCCCGGGAAGAGCCCTGAGCAATGAGGGAGGGACAGGATCTGCCTTGCCAGGGGCTGGGGCTCAGGCCTGGGCCCTTTGCATTCCTGAAACACATCCCCACCATTTCCCTCATCCCAGCGCTGGCACTCAGAGCAGCTGAGGAATGGAGTCACACCCAGGGGTGTCCCCAGGGCTCAGCACTGGGGCCAGGTCAGTGAAATCTCTTTATTGCTGGTCTGGACGAGGCCATCGAGGGCACCCTCAGGCAGTTCCAGGTGAGCCCAGGCTGGGTGGGAGTGTGGCTGTGCTGGAGGGCAGGAAGCTCTGCAGAGGGATCTGGACAGGCTGGAGCCATGGGCCCAGGACAATGGGATGAGGTTCACCAAGGCCAAGGGCCGGGTCCTGCCCTGGGCTCACAGCCACCCCAAATCCCTGGCTGTGCCCTGCCCCTGATCCCCACAGCCTGTCCTGTTTCCTTCATCCCTGCATTGCCAGGGACTTTCTGGGACAAGGGAGCTCTGCTCTGGGGATGGAGGGAGCTCCAAGTGCCACCACTGGAGTGGGAACCACAACTCATCAGGTTTGTGTCCTTTGGGGGTCAGGAACTGGTGAGACTCAGAGGCACAGAAAGTTTCTCTTCATGGCCAACAGACCATAGTTGAACAGGACACAATTTAATAACAATCACACTCTTCCCTGAGCTATGTGCAACATCCCAGCAGCATCTGATGAGTCCAGCATCCACAAGTGATTTCCATGCTAGAATGAATTTCAGACAAACGTGGTTCTGTGATAGATATAGGCACAATTAAGTTCTTGTATCAGGATGCTCATCCTGGAGTGGGGCAAAAGAGCTCAAACAATTCCTGATTTTCAAAGCTCTCAGTGGTGGATGGAGAAGGGAGGTCAGGCTCCTTTTGGTGTTGAGGAAATGCTGAAACCAGCCTGACTCATTTCATCTCCTCCTGGCCTGGCTGATCTCCCCTCTTTCCCCTTCCACCCATTGGCTTTTCTCTCCCACCAGGTGCCCCGGTGAAGAGCCTGGCTCTGTGTTCTCCATCCCCTCCTCGCTGGCACTGCCAGGCTGCGATGAGGAGCCCCTCAGCCTTCCCTGCTCCGGGCTGGACAAGCCCAGCTCCCTCAGCCTCTGCTCACAGCCCAAGGGCTCCAGCCCCACCTTGGAGGCCCTTCCCTAACCCTGCTCCAGCTCCCAGACATCTTTCCTGCCCTGGGGAACCCAACCCAGGCCACAGGGACCTGGATAATCCATGTCCTTGATGTCCTGGTCACACAGCCCTGGCCCCTTGTCCCCATGTCAGGCTCTGGGGTGGATCCTGTGGAACATCCTTTGGTGGAGGCTGTGGCTCCAGGTGGACCAGGGGGATGCCGGGGGACAGGGACCCTGCTGGGCATGAACAGCATTGGACTTGTTGGGAGAAACTGTGAGGGGGAGCTGGGGCGGAGTGACCAACCCAGTGACCTCACAGAGCCCTCCTGGGATGTCACACAGCCCCTCTGAGATGTCACAGCCCATTCTGTAATGTCACACAGCTGGTCTCTGATGTCACAGACAATTCTGTGATGTCACAGCCTGCTCTGAGATGTCACAGCCCATTCTGTAATGTCACACAGCTGGTCTCTGATGTCACAGACAATTCTGTGATGTCACAGCCTGCTCTGAGATGTCACAGCCCATTCTCTAGTGTCACACAGCTGGTCTCTGATGTCATAGTCTGCCCATTGATGTCACAGCCAGCTCTGATGTTACAGGGACAGTCTAGGATGCCATCACTGCTTGATGACCTCACATAACCCACTCTGTGATGTCACAGCCCGCTCTGTGACCTCATGTTACCAGATGATAAATTGTCTCCACCAGCTGAGCTGACACCTGGAGCTTGTTCTCCAAAACCCCAGGCCTATGGAAACCACACAGTGCCCACTGGAATATTGGGGTCCACGACCACCAGGGACCACCAGAGAGACCCCCAGGACAGAAGAAGGCATGCAAAAGGGGAGGAGAAATATGTTAATGATTCTGGGGAAATGATTATCAGATGTGTGTTTAGTCCAGCACAATCAGTGAATATATGTGCCAAATACAGAATATGAACAGAAACTTTCCTGCACTCAGCATGCTCAGCTTTGGGAGGAGCGATCCCCCGTGCATCCGGCTGAATAAAGAATGCTGCTTCTTAATGCTGCACTGGTGTTAAGGAGTTTTCTGTTTCACCGAATTTTTGGTAACACTCCACTCCCAAGGAAAGCTCTGTCTCCTGCTGCTCACAAACAGAGAAGGGCTGGTGGCAGATGTGGGGGTCGGAGGCTGCCTGGGGCACGGTGACCATGAAATAATCAAGTTTTCAATGATCTGTGAAAGAAGGAGGGGCAGCAACAAAACTTCCACACTGGAAATAGGAAGGGCAGACTTTGGCCTGTTTAGGATGCTGATTTAGGGAGTCTCGAATCATGTCCTGATTTTTTTTAAGGGAAACAGCCCTTGAAAACCAAGGGGTCCAGGGAGGATGGACACATTTCTAGAAAGTAATCTTAAGGGGGAAGGAGCAGCCTGTCCCAGTGGGGCAAAGGATGAGCTGGTGAGGAAAATGACTGGCCTGGCTGCCCATGGAGCTTTTGTGGGAACTTGGGAAAAAAGGACTGGCGATGCAGGAAGTGTTTAAGGATGTTGTTAGGTTATGCAGAAAGAAAAGGAGAGAGATGAAAGCTTAATTAGAACTTAACCAGGCAGCTTCTGTAAAATGACTAAATAATGTTTTTATAAAAAAATTTATAGCAAAAGGAGGGAGG